TTTTTTTTTTCTTCACCAAGTACTCCTCAATCGTTGATGTTCTGCTGCAAATTACAAACGACAAGTTGCCTTCACATTCTTTCAGGAACGACGTATATTCCTTCAACAAACATCACCCCAACAGCTGATGCAGCCTCAGGTTTTTCTTCCTTTACATTCTCTCTTCTTCTGTCTCTTTTATTCTGCTTTTCCCTCTGTATCGTCTTTTTTCCCAGTGTACATTTTTTACCTGTATATTTCTTTTCCACTTTTCCTTTTTGTACGCTCTTTTTTCTTTGCACCTAAGTGTTTAGCGATATGCATATATCGGCTTTTTTTTTGATTCTTTTCTCGTACTAATTATTACAGTTTTTAACAGCTCTTTTTTTTTCTAAACAAATATTAGCTTATTTTTTTTTTTGGTTCTGAATCTCTTAAGAATTCTTCTGCTGCTCTTTTTTTTCTTTTATTCTTTTATTTCTAAACATCTGCATATTTGTTGTTGAAAATAGGCATCTAATTAGCATCGAAATATAATATGCATAACATTTAGGCTATCCTATCTGTATTGAACAGTCTTACAGTGCTAGTTTTTTGTTATTATTTTCATTATTACATTTTTTTTTGCTACTTTTTTATTTGCTATGATTTGCCAATCTAACCAGCTATAAGTTTGTTTTGATTTGTCAGTCTAAACAACTATAAATTATAGATAGATGTCTGAGTTGATTTATCAGAATTATTGCTTGATTGCATGACAAATTTTGTTTAGTCTTACCAATAACAACAGTTCCTATTCAGCTGCATTAAATTTTTCCAGATTTTTTTTTAAACTCATTTTTTTCTCACATAAATTAGTCAAATAGAATATAAAAGCAAAAACAGTACGGTATTTTTAATACAGTTTGCAAATTGCATATTTTAAGTCATTAATGATGATTAGATGTAAAAGTGAAAAAAAAAAAAATAGGAAAAAGTTTTCCTAAACCTTGTCACTTTTTTTCGGTAAGGAGAAAGACATTTAGTTTTAGTCTATTTTACTAACTGACTGAATTTAAGAATTTTCAAACTGTTTGAATGCTTCAAGTTGACAGTTCTAACAAAACAGATTCTGAAGCGTTTGTGTTATAAACTGTGTTCATCACTGATTATTTGTTCGTTTTCCAATATCTTCATTTCTTCATAATCATCATCATTGACTGTAATGCAAATTTTGTT